GTTATCTCTGATTGGGAGCCATATTTATCTGTATGTTTTCCTTTGGGTGTTGTGGGTTTTTGTTCCTGTACAGTCATATTCACTGTGGACTTCACGAGTCGTCTTTTGTTTTGTATTTTGTGCGTTATCAATTAAAGTCATGTTCGCTCAACGCGCTGCGCTTTGGTCTGTTCATTCGTCAGACGATCGTGACAGTAGGCCTACATTGAACACCACACATTGTCTGCTACCATAGGCTGAACGATAGAACAGCTGTTTCCATGTTAAAATGTTATGTGATGTATTTTCTCCTTTGTTTTTTTTATGGTAGTCCACTCTGGTAGGCCTACATTATGATCAAATAGCCACAGTAGCCTACTTGACCACTGTTAAAACTAACTTAAAGCGGGTACAGCCTCAGTGTTCACAGTAAATGCATGCTGGAAGTTTCACAGAATGTTCACAATGCTCAAGTTTACTCTCAGCAGACCTGAAATTTGCTCAGTGATGAAAATAATTAGAGGGGACATTACTTGGGAGCAGTTGTTGGGTGTTAACTGTCTTGCTCAAGGGCAGAATGGCAGATTTTTTTCACCTCGCTGGGTCAGGGATTCACACCAGCGACCTTTCGGTAACTGGCCCAAGGCTCTTCACTGCTAGGCTACCTGCCGAAAGAGGGTATGCCTTGAGTTTTACCGGCAGCCACGCCCCCTGAATATTTACTGGTATTTCATTAGGGTGGTCTGTCTCTCTTTCATTCTGTCACCAGGTCGCCGCTCGGTAAGCGGCATAGATATGAGGTCCAGACATAATTATAAATGTTTTCACTCTGGTCACTTAAGCATGAATGTGAGAAATGCTTTGAAAGGAGTTCTACGTTTAGATCTAAAACCTATTAGGGTCTACAGATGACATCATTGGCATTTTAGGCAACAAAACAGAGAGATCACATAGTTGAGCCAACCCTTGTTGAAAGAGAAGTCTGAATAGGCAACTGTTGAATAGAATTTAGAAGGAAGGACTCATTCGATCCCGATTACTTTCAATTTGCATTTATGGGAAGGCTAATTCTGTTTGATGACGCTTATGGGAACGCTCACAAGGAATGCTTTTACGTTTTATTTTTCTGTTAAAACTCACATAAAACTATTGCCAAAATTGATCATTGACGACAGAAGAAAATAAATCAAGCATTTAATATTCTGGTCGGCTACAATTAGCTTGCTCTTGTCTATAACCATTTAAAAACGTTGGTTGATGGGAGAGTATAGCCTAAACTTGTTTAAAACCTTCTTTACAACTTCTATTTATCGCTGACTGGCAAGGATTTAGCCTAAATAAACTGCAGTTCACTCTAAGTTCATAACAAACATCTGAAATTCCCTTCAAAATGAAGTCCGATGTTGTGTATACATTGAGTCTTGCCAACCACTCCAGCTACCTAAATAAACAGTTGTCAACTAACCATGCCTTCCATTCCATTGGTCCGCTCTGAAAGACCGCTATGCAGAGCCAGAGCGTCACTGACGCTGAGGGTTGGGGTGTTGCCGGGACAACGCAGAATGGATACAACAAAATAGAAACCTGGGAAACACGGCCAAGCACTACGTTTACATTTAAATGCGTGGGGGGGAAAGGGGGAACACCCTCTTGTAATATATAGACTACTGCTCAATGAGAGTGACGTTTTCCCTATTTAAGAATGTTTATATAAACTTTAGCGGAACAAAGCCTACATGGGGAAGTATGTTTTTGGAACTATTATGCGCTATTCAGGACTTGTTGAGTCAAACAGTAAGCATGGAATTTAATCATCGCATGGTTTCGCTATAAATTGTATATATATATATATATATATATATATATATATATATATATAGATAAGATATATCGTTAGTAAAATATAGGGTAGGCTATCTACGTTGTTATAGTTCTTTAGGCTACTTCAGTGTGTTTTGAGCTAATTTACATTTACATTGACATCATTTAGCAGACGCTCTTATCCAGAGCGACTTACAAATTGGTGCATTGAACTTATGATAGCCAGTGGGACAAGCACTTTTTTTTTTACGGGGGGGGGGGGGGGGGGGGGGGGGGGGGGTAGAAGGATGACTTTATACTATTCCAGGTATTCCTTAAAGAGGTGGGGTTTCAAGTGTCTCCGGAAGGTGATGATACATATCCTCTCACCACATGCCTTCTCCACTACAAGGAGGAGCCTAGTTCCCAAGAGAAGGGATCCCCCCACAGTGACCAGATTACTGTATATAAAACATTCCTGGGAAGCGGTAGTACTAGGCCACTACACTACACCACCACTCCAATGAAAAGTACACCTGGCCGATCTGTTGCTCCACTTACTGCCACCCCCTCATTAACCTCACCTGGATTCTACAGGTAGGCCCAACGTGTACAAACATTGCCTTGGGCCAAAGTACATGTGCAGTGAAGGGAAATGTTGTTGACTTTAGTTGCCTTGTGCCAAAGAACACGGTAGCTAAGGGGATGTTGTTGACTGCAGTATCAGCAGCTGTTTAGTATTATACATCTCTGTTTATGATTTGCACAATAGTTCTATAATGTCCTCATTTCTATATTGTTATATTCTATATGCATATAGGTTATTGGTCCGTTTTTCAGTTATAAATAGCACATTTGTGTTGAATCAGTTTACACTGATGAGGAGCTTTAGTATCTTCTTAATTACTTAACTGAAATCATATGTAATGTTAAAGGCTACATAGTTATTGGGACCCTCCTAAACTGAGGACATAACATATTTATACATCATGAGGCCTACCCATTGAGATTTCAAAGTCAAGTTGTTCAATATTTTATTCCACAAATAGGACAGTTGAGTATGTCCCATATAATCAATATTCTGCGAGTATGTCCCATATAATCAATAATCAAGTCATTCCATGACTCTGGATCAGAAGGCTATGTGTTCGATCCCAGCGGTGGACAGTGGTTTTACTTTATGTTTTTACCCTATCCCAAACCTTAACCCTTACCTTAACCATTCAGAATGAGTGCCTTAACCTAATGTTTTAACCCTGTCCCAAACCTTAAACCTTACCTTAACCATTCAGAATGAGTGCCTTAACCTAATGTTTTAACCCTATCCCAAACCTTAACCCTTACCTTAACCATTCAGAATGAGTGCCTTAACCTAATGTTTTAACCCTGTCCCAAACCTTAACCCTTACCTTAACCATTCAGAATGAGTGCCTTAACCTAATGTTTTAACCCTATCCCAAACCTTAACCCTTACCTTAACCATTCAGAATGAGGTTCTAGATTTAACCCTTAACTTTGGAAATGTGATGTTTGGAGAAATGGAGCGATACAGAGCACCAGGAACAACCCAGGGTGTCAAAAACTCTTCGAAATATGATGTTTGAAGCAACCTCGAAACACACACACACACGCACACACTCACTCACGTAATTTGCGCACACATACATAACATGCACACACATTTATATTGACACTAAACACATGCACACTCACATTCAATCATATATCCTGTTGCCTAGTCACCTTACCCCTATACATATCTACCTCTATCACTCCACTATCCCTGTCCCCTTACCCCTATACATATCTACCTCTATCACTCCAGTATCCCTGTCACCTTAGCCCTATACATATCTACCTTCATTACTCCAGTATCCCTGCACATTGTAAATATGGTATTGAACTAACCATGTATATAGTATGTAGCTCAGTTGTGGGTTCGATTCCCACGGGGGGCCAGTATGAAATAAAAAAATAAAAAATAAAAAATAATGTATGTACTCACTAACTGTAAGTCGCTCTGGATAAGAGAGTCTGCTAAATGACTAAAATGTAAAATGTAATGTATGGTATTGAACTGACCCTGTATATAGTACGGTATTGAACTGACCGTGTATATAGTATGGTATTGAACTGACCCTGTATATAGTATGGTATTGAACTGACCCTGTATATAGTATGGTATTGAACTGACCCTGTATATAATACGGTATTGAGCTGACCCTGTATATAATACGGTATTGAACTGACTGTGTATTTAGCTTCTTACTGTCTCATGTTCTTCTTATTTCTTATTTCTTATTTTTATATCTTGTGTGTTTTTGTTCTACCTTGTTTATTTTTTGTGCTACATTGATATTGAATACTGCATTGTTGGGTTTAGAGCTGGCAAGAAAGGCATTTCACTGTACTTGTGCACGTGACATTAAAACTTGAAATTTAATTCTAGTTTTTGTGTTTAATAGGCTAAATTACACATTCTGTTAACATCTGACTCCAGAGTGATCTCTTCTTGCAATTGGTAGTCTATGACGTTTCAGATTTAGATATGATAATTCTTCACAAAGTAGTTTGGATTTAGTGAACTACTCAATATTAGGAAGGTGTTCCTATTGTTTGGTGTCCTCGGTGTATATTTCCATAGTAGCTTCCCCAACACTGGTTGTCTTTACGTAACGTTATGCTCATGTCAGCCAATTGTAGCTCATCTCGTTTCCAAGCAGGGTTCGCCCATTTAACAGGATGCACCATATAAGGTAAATTACGTCGACGGGATCTCCGCTTGGAACGTTCCATTTCTTGCGAATGGTCACATCGAAGTTCTAACTTTTTTTTATCTTATACAATAAACACACAATACATGTACGTTAAACCACATATTTGAACTATTCTACACTATGCAATGTGTTACGAGTGTCAAAATTAGTATTTTGTATGTTTAAAAATTGTTGTTTTGTCGCGTGATCACCCTTCCGGGAGAGTATTTCCTCGCCAGTAGGGTGGAAACCTTTAAAAGCCCTGCGAACTGTCAGATTTGGCAGTCAAACTTTCAGCAGCTGAAGAGAGAACGCAAGACACGAAATAGACTGCAACACAGGATCACAATAAACAACAGCTAACCTGCCAAAGGATCACGTGACTTTGACAACTTTAGCCGACGACCTGCTTTCTTTTCACTTCATTTGGATTTTTGCCGAGTTTCTTCGTGATCTCCTGAAACGATGATGTACTCCGCTTTCAACACGGATTGTGACTCCTCTTCCCGGTGCAGTACCGCTTCTCCAGCTTGCGACAACCTGGCTTACTACAACTCTCCTGCGGGATCTTACTCCACTATAGGCTCTCCCCAATCTCACGTACGTTGAACGATCAATTATGGCATATTGCCGCCTTAGTTACAATGTCATTGATAACTGTAATATTAGTCAGTACTTGACTAGTGCAGGAGCTCACCAGAGCCGAGTACTGGCACCTCTAATGTTTGAGCTCAACGCTAGCTCCTCTACTTCTTTATAGAATATTAGCTCAAAAGTATTGTGGCGCTCCTGTAGTTAAATTATAAACAGTACCGGCACCCAAATGAGTACCAACACCTATTTCAGTGCAAGTCAAGCACTGATACTATAGTGTAGTAACATTGCAGTAATAGTACTGTAGTTTTATTTGCTAAACTATAACATGTTATAGGCTATAACATGTGAATGAAGTCTCCTTATAGTGGCCTAGATGTTAAAGCTGTAAAGCGTCAGACTCGGTTCTGCTCTGCAACACTGACTACACGCTCCTGTAGTTCATTCATTTAGCAAGCAGCGAGGAAACTCCAGAGAAGTTCTGCGTCATAGCTTACATCAGGAAGGATATTTCCAAACCTTGTGGCTTTCAACAGACCGACCAACTGGCTTCATTCATATGCATGAAGTATGAAAATGTATGTACTCACTAACTTTAAGTCGCTCTGGATAAGAGCGTCTGCTAAAATGTAAATGTAATTAAGGAAATGATGCATTGCTTCAGCAGCATCACCCACCCACCCTCCCTCCCTAGTACCCTACCCTTTCTGGATATAAATGCTCCTGTACTGACCGAGTTCTCTCCTCATTCTCTAACAGGACTTCACAGACCTGACTTCACTGTCCAGTGGCTCCTTCATCCCTACTGTCACAGCCATCTCTGCCAGCCCAGACCTTCAGTGGATGGACCAGCCGCTCGTATCCTCCGTGGCCCCTTCTCACGGAGTCCATCCCTACAGCGCCTGCCCCCCAACCTACACTAGCGCCATGAGGAACAAGGGCCACCGCTCTGTGCGCAGAGGCAAAATGGAACGGGTAAATATCTCTACTGATCTTAGCGCTGGTCTAGAACCACTGTATAATGATTAATTTACGACACTTTGGTTTTGAATATGGCGTACAGTGCATGTTGGATTTAATGATGACATTGCATTCAATCAAAGAGTACGGGGGACTTCATTTTTCTTCTGTTTTTTGTTTCTTCTATAGCTTTCTCCTGAGGAGGAGGAGAAGAAGAGAGTCCGTAGAGAGAGGAACAAGCAAGCAGCAGCTAAATGCCGCAACCGGAGGAGGGAGCTCACTGACACTCTGCAGGGTGAAACTGACGAGCTGGAGGATGAGAAGTCTGCTCTCCAGAACGACATCGCCAACCTGCTCAAAGAGAAGGAGAAGTTAGAGTTTATCCTTGCAGCCCACCAGCCCATCTGCAAGATCCCCTCTGATATGGACAATGCTTTCCCCTCCATCTCCCCCTCCCTCGGGGTCTCCATTCAGCTGTCCCCACCCCAGCCTCAGAGCATGGTCTCCAGCTCCGTCTGCTCTGCAACTCCCCTCACCTCCATCCCGTCGACCGCCAGCTCCATCCTCTCCACCTCAGTCTCAATCTTCTCCTGCAGCCCCCTCCTGTCCACCGCCTCAGTCTCCGACGTCAAGATGGCCGACCTGGACACAGCCTGCCTGGAGGAGTCTGTTTCTCTCCTCGCCAAGACTGAGATGGAGACGGCCCGGTCGGTGCCCGAGGTCGATCTGACAAGCTCCCTGTACGCCCAGGACTGGGAGCCCCTCTACAGCACAGCCAATAATGACTTTGAGTCCCTGTGCACCCCCGTGGTCACCTGCACCACGCACACGTCTTCCTTCACCTATCCAGAGGCAGAGGCGTTCCCTACCTGTGGCGTGGCCCACCGGAGAGGCAGCAGCGGCGGCAACGACCAGTCCTCTGACTCCCTCAGCTCCCCTACACTCCTAGCCCTGTGAGCCAGACGACCGTAGTTATCTCCCGAATGACACCCCGTTACCTAATACATAGTGCATTTTTTGCTTTCGATCAGTGTCCCATAGGGTGTCCCGTAGAGCTCTGGTCTGAAGTAGTGCACTTGGGTGACATTTGGGACGTACCCCTCTTCCACACAATACCACTTCCTGTACAGCACATTTAGCACTTCCTCCATGTACAGCTCCAGTATGTGGTAGACGTGCAGAATGACTGCAGGGCTATGTCATAGACTTGGACTTGCACTTCACACAACCAGGAAGCAAAATATATTTGTTTAACTTGTTTTTTCTCGAATATAATAGGCTATTACTTGCCTTTTTTTTGTTTTTGTTTTTTTTCAACTATTTAGCAGGTTAAAGCATGTTTTAACTAATAACACAATATTTTGGGTTTACAAAATAGTTATGTTAATTTATTTTTTATTTTTATGGCGCTAGATAACATAAAGTTGTTGTAGTGTTTCTGACTTGTGTGATCAGAGCGATATACATTTTACATTTTAGTCATTTAGCAGACGCTCTTATCCAGAGCAACTTACAGTTAGTGAATACATATTTTTTTATACTGGCCCCCCGTGGGAATCGAACCCACAACCCTGGCATTGCAAACGCCATGCTCTTTCAACTGAGCTACATCCCTGCCGGCCATTCCCTCCCCTACCCTGGACGAATTGTGCGCCGCCCATGAGTCTCCCGGTCGCGGCCGGCTGCGACAGAGCCTGGATTCGAACCAGGATCTCTAGTGGCACAGTTAGCACTGCGATGCAGTGCCTTAGACCACTGCGCCACTCACCTATAGATGTAGTGCCTTAGACCACTGCACCACTCACCTATAGATGTCTTGACCCGTTTTTTTTTTTTTCTGGTTGATGGAATGTGAGCTTCTTGTACGTTTTGTGATTTATTTAATAATGATGATGTGCTTGTCTCACCATGTCTGGGTGGTCTATATTCTAGTGTGACAGTTTTCTATGAAAACGTTAGTGTTTTTAATTTATGAAATTTCTAATTTATTTTTTTATACTCATAGAATTTAAACAAAAAAAAAAGAAATACAAAGCAAACTGTTTAACATTTTTGAAAAACTTGTAACAAATAAAATGTATATTAAATTATTGATTCACTTCTACCTTTTTTAGTCAAAAAATGCATACATGCACACAATCCTCCATTCTGCACTGAAATATATAACGAACTACACTTTTTATATAGATAGACTAAGAAAGTGAGTGGCTTTCTATAGGGGGAAATTACACAATTGTCTAAAATTAGGCCATTAAACAAACACATATTGGTCTACTTCTCTCCAAGCGCTGTGTTTATTGTTCCATCGCTCTGTTGGCAAGGTTGACTATACGTCAGAGCGCTCTGACGTTGGTGCGTGCTTACCTGTTTTTTTTTTTCTCACTTGGCAACGAACGCTGGCGCTGTGACGTACATTTCCGTGCCCAAATATAAATATTGCTGCCTCAACCAACCGGCAGATATTATTTCTGGAACATACTTTGCGCATGAAGTTCAATCGCATTGACAATCAATTGCTTTGCACTTTACAATCTATTTGCTCGAGCAACTTTATGTCAGTAAGATGGTGAAGATTGACATCTTCCCTCATGCATTAGTCTATTAGGGATCTCTCTCTCTCTCTCTCTGGGCAAGAGATGCATGCAAACGGCATTTGGAGGTAATATATTAGGAATCTAGCTCAATAATGTCGGACCATGTAGATGGTCTATTTTGTAATATTTCTTCACTCATTTATGAAGCTCACGCTTTTTAGGCTACAGTCAATAGATGGACTAAATGCACGTCTGGTTGATATAGCTACAGCCTAGACTAATGCTGTAACGGATCTATAGGTCCCTGTCAGGAACTCAACATGCCATGTGGGATAATAGCGCAGTAAAGGTTACAGCTTTCGCATGATCAAACAACTGGCATGAATGAGGATGGATTTTTGGTCCACCTGCAGAATGTTTAGGTCTTTTTCTGACCCTCAAAAAGGGATTTATGTAATGCGTTACGTAGATTACCCATTACTTCCATTCTATTCTATAGTCAACATCATTACCAACCATCATTACCATGCACCCCCAAAATCAGAGGGGGCACAAAGTATGTGAGTGGCTGGGAGGGGAGGGGGAGGGGGGGGGGGGGGGGGGGGGGGGGGTATGCCCCCTTTTGTAAATTTTAGAATTTGCCATTTTTCAAACACCTGAAACAGCTTTTTCCTGCAATCTAGAGCCATAATCATTATGCTTAATTTTATGTAAAATTATCTAAGCATACCTTTTGAGCTATCTGTATCCTGACTGGTGGTTCTTTATTAATTTTTAACTAAATATGCTTCTCTGCTAAAATCTGGGTAAAAGCTTGAAAGGAATGTGAGTCTTATTCACTACATTAAGTTATTGCTTGCTTTTCAAAAGTCTACCAACCTTTCCAGCAGGCATGCCAGCTAAGATAGATAGACAAGCTAGCTACTCTAACTTGATTGATAGCCTGAAATGGCTTCTTGGTAGCTAGCAATGAGGTTGGCTTCTTGGTAGCTAGCGGTAGCTCTCCAGGAACAGGGTTGGAGAGCCCTGGTCTAACATCTGAACTAAAGAAGAAAGGTGCTCAAGAAAATGGGGCTGCTGTTGGTCTATATTTGAAATGCTGCATTTGAAAGCAGAAACCTCTACACTATGCCTACTATTCTGGGCATAATGGACAAAGTAGGGCAGATATAACAGTGAGCTAGAGTGATGGTCTGGGTGAGAAGACTTCCGTTTTAAGAGCAAAGCGATGTTTTATTTAAATATTCATACACCCCCCAAGCCTACTCTAGTCTCCTCTGATGCTGGTCTTTTAAAGCTATGCAGGCCAGGCCACATAGTCTAGTCACACTGTAGATAATGTCTCTACATTCATATGGCAAAAATAGTAACAGCAGAGAGTTACTCAAGCATTTATAAAACCAAATCAAATAAAACAGCAGGGTTGCAAGCTCAGATTGGCTCTAGAAGTCTGTACCGGGGTTGGGGGTCAAATCCATTTAAATTCCAGTCAGTCAATTCAGAAAGTAAACCAAATTCCAGTTTTCCCAATTTAAAAGCATTGAAGATAATTGCAATTGGAATTTCAGTGTACTTCCTGATTTAACTGGAATTGAAATGGAATTGACCCCAACCCTGGTCTGTACCATGATGAGGAGGTTGTTGATTATGCTATGCTTGACTTTGGAGTCAGTTCCGTTGGCGCCAGTCCCTGTCATTACAGGCGGCAGGTAGCCTAGCGATGAACAGTATTGGGCAAGTAACAGAAAGGTCGCTTTGGTTTGAATCCCATGAGCCGACCAGATGTAACAAATCTGCCCTTGAGCAAGGCACTTATAAGAATGATGTAAATGTGGATGACATATCATGATCACAAGGGTAGGGTGGGATTTATGCATTATTTACCCTTATTTTACCAGGTAAGATGACTGAGAACATATTCTCTTTTACAGTAACAACCTGGGAAAGAGTTACAGGGGAAAGAGAGGGGATGAATGAGACAATTGGAAGCTGGGCATGATTAGGTGGCCGTGATGGTATGAGGGCCAGATTGGGAATTGTGTAGGTGCATCAATGACAACTATGTTAGACATGTAATCCCTAGGCCTATACATCACACGTCACTGTCACTACAGCGTATCATATTTACTCTCTTGAACTCATGTACGCTCATCCACTCGCCTCCTACCCCAGTACCAGTAATTTATTCAAACCCATTCGCTCATTTCCTATGTCCCCATATTTCCCTTGTATAGACTTAATGGAGGATGTTTGCTCAATTACTTTGTGCTCAGGAAATGCTTTGTGCGTGCTCTAGTGAACGAGAGGAGGGCGGGTCAGTAATAGGAAGTCAGCGATCACACACTGAAAGACGCAATGTACCGCTCTCCCTCCGGCTGTTCTGTCATAGACACACCCTTTTGTGTAATAGTTACAAAGACATCTGTTACACAGTGGTTCTTTATTGCTTCACCTTATCTCCAATCCCTTAATGTGTTTTCTTCCAAAGAATGCACTCCAAAAACCCCAGATAATGATTGATCAACTGTTAAGGTTAAACTGCACCAGTATTGATGCTATAGGCTACCCTGTAACCCTGCACCAGTATTGATGCTATAGGATACCCTGTAACCCTGCACCAGTATTGATGCTATAGGCTACCCTGTAACCCTGCACCAGTATTGATGCTATAGGATACCCTGTAACCCTGCACCAGTATTGATGGTATAGGATACCCTGTAACCCTGCACCAGTATTGATGCTATAGGATACCCTGTAACCCTGCACCAGTATTGATGGTATACAGTGAGGGAAAAAAGTATTTGATCCCCTGCTGATTTTGTACGTTTGCCCACTGACAAAGAAATGATCAGTCTATAATTTTAATGGTAGGTTTATTTGAACAGTGAGAGACAGAATAACAACAACAAAAATCCAGAAAAACGCATGTCAAAAATGTTATAAATTGATTTGCATTTTAATGAGGGAAATAAATATTTGACCCCCTCTCAATCAGAAAGATTTCTGGCTCCCAGGTGTCTTTTATACAGGTAACGAGCTGAGATTAGGAGCACACTCTTAAAGGGAGTGCTCCTAATCTCATCTTGTTACCTGTATAAAAGACACCTGTCCACAGAAGCAATTAATCAATCAGATTCCAAACTCTCCACCATGGCCAAGACCAAAGAGCTCTCCAAGGATGTCAGGGACAAGATTGTAGACCTACACAAGGCTGGAATGGGCTACAAGACCATCGCCAAGCAGCTTGGTGAGAAGGTGACAACAGTTGGTGCGATTATTCGCAAATGGAAGAAACACAAAATAACTGTCAATCTCCTTCAGCCTGGGGCTCCATGCAAGATCTCACCTCGTGGAGTTGCAATGATCATGAGAACGGTG